AAAAAATCATATGAAAAATCCATGCCAAGCAAAAAAAATTAATTTATATGTAGAAAAATTTCTAACTTTTAGACAATTTCTACCAAAAGAATTTTGAATAAGGGAAGTATATTACCCTCACGTATAATTTCATGGATTTGAAAAAGGTCTATGGAATACTAAAAAGGCAAAAACTGTAAATTTAAATGGAAAATAACTAACTTTCAAATGATATCCAAAAAACAATTTTACATTTGTAAAATTATAGTTGGGGATGTCAGCTACCCTCACATAAATTTTATGCAAATAAAAAAATTCCTAGATTCCATATCAAACAAAAAACTATTTGCTATAAAGTTAAGTAAAATTTTTGGAGCTGGGGCACTACATTTTCACGGATTTCATTGAATATCTCAAAAATAAGACCAAATATAAAAAAAACGGGACAAAAAAGCTTCAAAATTTATAAGACAAACTTATCTACTTTCCTTTTGGTATAAACATATACCGCATTATAAAGTTTTATACTTATTTTCTATGATAGCTACACAGATTAGTCTTTTTCAAAAGATACTTCTATTTCAAAACAATTTAACTAACTTGCAACTTTTCTCCACTAAGTACAAATATTATTCAATTTTATAACTTGACGAATAAAAAATAATTCTTTTACACCAATAGCGTTTACCGTAAGAAATAAAAATACCGATATATGTTCTGCTTCACTGTTTGCTTCAGTAATACTGAAATCAGTATTAACATTGGCCGCCCAGTACTATATAAAACAATATACATTAAAAATATACATAGGTACTTAACATTTTATTTGTGTTATGGTTGCAAAATGCATACAAAATATTTATAAAATGACTATAGATAATAATCGTTCTATTGAAAAAACCTCTCAAAAAACAAAGGATTCAAAACCTTTNATAGGTACTTAACATTTTATTTGTGTTATGGTTGCAAAATGCATACAAAATATTTATAAAATGACTATAGATAATAATCGTTCTATTGAAAAAACCTCTCAAAAAACAAAGGATTCAAAACCTTTGAATCAATCATCCCTTATACTGTTTAATCATTTCTTATATTTATCCAAATTTTTACTACCTCCTCTCAAGTTACATGAAATATCAAAACATTTTTATTTCAAATATTTTTCTGTAATTTTTAATGTAACATACTGTGATTTACTTAATTTTTCCTTAATTTCATATTTTTCACAAAATGCTCCTATACCTTTTTAATTTTAATAAAACATCTAATATGTTTTTATAGCAATAATTTGCTTTCTTTTCATTCATCCAATCATTTCATACAAATTGCATAAAAATTATATACATTCAATTAAAAATTCTTATTCATAGTTCGATAGTACGTTCCTTCAATGAAGATAAATATTTACATTTTGCATTTCTTAAAAAGTTACAATTATATAATACTTTTATTTTTTGACTTTTTAAAGACAATTTTATTCTTCATTTTCAATATTTATACATAATCAACCTACACTTACCCACTTAAATAGGTTTCTATAAGATTTGCCGTTTGGTTCCTAGCGACCGAGGCGTTACTGGTGGCCCACCAACTATTTTCCATTGGTAAAATTATAATATGGTATGTAAACTACCTTCACATAAAATTTCATACATTTTCAATAAATCATATGAAAAATCCATGTCAAGCAAAAATAAAATTAATTTATATATAGAAAAATTTCTAACTTTTAGACAATTTCTACCAAAAGAATTTTAGGAAGGGAAGTAGATTACCCTCACGTAAAATTTCATGGATTTGAAAAAGGTCAATGGAATACTGAAAAGGCAAAAACTGTAAATTTAAATGGAAAAAACTAACTTTCAAATAATTTCCAAAAAACAATTTTATATTTGTAAAATTATAGTTTTGGATGTCAGCTACCCTCACATAAATTTTCATGCAAATAAAAAATCCCTAGATTCCATATCAAACAAAAAAACTATTTGCTATAAAGTAAAATTTTTGGAGCTGGGGCACTACATTGTCACGGATTTCATTGAATATCTCAAAAATAAGACCAAATATAAAAAAAAACGGGACAAAACAGTTTCAAAATTTACAAGACAAACTTATCTACTTTCCCTTTTGGTATATGTTTATACATTATAAAGTTTTATGCTTATTTTCTATGATAGCTACACAGATTAGTCTTTTTCAAAAGATACTTCTATTTCAAAACAATTTAACTAACTTGCAACTTTTCTCCACTAAGTACAAATATTATTCAATTTTATAACTTAACGAATAAAAAATAATTCTTTTACACCAATAGCGTTTACCGTAAGAAATAAAAATACCGATATATTTTCTGCTCCACTGTTTGCTTCTTATACTGAAATCAGTATTAACATTGGCCGCCCAGTACTATATAAAACAATATACATTAAAAATATACATAGGTACTTAACATTTTATTTGTGTTATGGTTGCAAAATGCATACAAAATATTTATAAAATGACTATAGATAATAATCGTTCTATTGAAAAAACCTCTCAAAAAACAAAGGATTCAAAACCTTTGAAACAATCATCCCTTATACTGTTTAATCATTTCTTATATTTATCCAAATTTTTACTACCTCCTCTCAAGTTACATGAGATATCAAAACATTTTTATTTCAATTTTTTTCTGTAATTTTTAATGTAACAAACTGTGATTTACTTAATTTTTCCTTAATTTCATATTTTTCACAAAATGCTCCTATAGCTTTTTAATTTTAATAAAACATCTAATATGTTTTTATAGCAATAATTTGCTTTCTTTTCATTCATCCAATCATTTCATACAAACTGCATAAAAATTATATACATTCAATTAAAAATTCTTATTCATAGTTCGATAGTACGTTCCTTCAATGAAGATAAATATTTACATTTTGCATTTCTTAAAAAGTTACAATTATATAATACTTTTATTTTTTTACTTTTTAAAGACAATTTTATCCTTCATTTTGAATATTTATACATAATCAACCTACACTTACCTACCTAAATAGGTTTCTATAAGATTTGCCGTTTGGTCCCTAGCGATCGAGGCGTTATTGGTGGCCCACCAACTATTTTCCATTGGTAAAATTATAGTATGGGATGTAAACTACCCTCACATAAAATTTCATACATTTTCAAAAAATCGTATGAAATCCATGTCGAGCAAAAAAAAATTAATTTATATATAGGAAAATTTTTAACTTTTAGACAATTTCTACTGAAAGAATTTTGAATGGGAAAGTAGATTACCCTCATATTTAGGGACACTGTATAGAAAATTTTCTGACTCAGACAATTTCTACCACAAGAATTTTGAATGGGGAAATAAATTAGCCTCACGTAAAATTTCATGGATTTGCAAAAAGTCTATGGAATACTAAAAGATAATTTTCAAAAAACGACTTTTACATTTGTAAAATTATAATTTGGAATGTAAACTACCCTCACTTAAAATTTCATACACTTTCAAAGAATTCTTAAGGTTCATAGCAAACAAAAAAACAAATTTAAATATAGAAAAATATGTAGCTTTTAGACAACTTTGGCAAAAGTTTCATAAATTTGCAAAACTTCTATGATTTAATAAGGAAACAGAAAATGTAGAATTTAAATGGAAAAAAATTAGTGAAACAATTTTTAAAATACTACTTTCCATTGGCAAAATTATTGTTTGGGATATAGGCTACTTACATAAAATTTTATGCACTTTCAGAGAATCCCTAGAGGTCAGTATCAAACAAAAAGCTATAATTTTTTCACAAGTTTCGGGAAATAATTATGAATGAAGAAGTAGCGTAGCCTTATGTAAAATTTTATGAATTTACAAAAGGTCTGTGGAATATTAAAGGAATAAATACTGTAAATTTAAATGGAAAAAAATTAAACAGACAATTTTCAAGAAATAATTTTCCATTTTTAAAATTATGTCACCTACCCGCACATAAATTTTCATGCAAATAAAAAAATCCCTGGATTCCATATTAAACAAAAAAACTATACATTTAAATAAATAGACATTTCCTGTTTTTACAGGACTTTCGAGAAAAAAAATGTGTATAATGAAGTAAAGTACCCTCACGTAAAGTTCCATATATATATATATATATANGGGAGTTATGGGTTGATTTCCTTCATTTTTAAAAGTCGAGTAAAAAATTTTTTTTTCCGATTTTCTGTCTTTATTAAGCTTTCCGAATACGTGGTTAAAATTAATGACATTATGACTGAATCACCCTGTATATAGGAAAATTTTTAACTTTTAGACAATTTCTACTGAAAGAATTTTGAATGGGGAAATAAATTAGCCTCACATAAAATTTCATGGATTTGCAAAAAATGTCTATGTAATACTAAAAGATAATTTTCAAAAAACGACTTTTACATTTGTAAAATTATAATTTGGGATGTAAACTACCCTCACTTAAAATTTCATGCACTTTCAAAGAATTCTTAAGGTTCATAGCAAACAAAAAAACAAATTTAAATATAGAAAAATATGTAGCTTTTAGACAACTTTGGCGAAAGTTTTATAAATTTGCAAAACTTCTATGATTTAATAAGGAAGCAGAAAATGTAGAATTTAAATGTAAAAGAATTAGTGAAACAATTTTTAAAATACTACTTTCCATTGGCAAAATTATTGTTTGGGATATGGACTACTTAATAAAATTTTATGCACTTTCAGAGAATCCCTAGAGGTCAGTATCAAACAAAAAGCTATAATTTTTTCACAAGTTTCGGGAAATAATTATGAATGAGTATAGAGTAGCCTTATGTAAAATTTTATGAATTTACAAAAGGTCTGTGCAATATTAAAAGGATAAATACTGTAAATTTAAATGGAAAAAAATATAACACAATTTTCAAGAAATAATTTTCCATTTTTAAAATTATGTCACCTACCCTCACATAAATTTTCATGCAAATAAAAAAATCCCTGGATTCCATATTAAACAAAAAAACTAAACATTTAAATATATACACATTTCCTGATTTTACAGGACTTTCGAGAAAAAATTTATGTATAATGAAGTAAACTACTCTCACGTAAAGTTCCATATATATATTGAAGGACCAAAAACTGTAAATTTAAATGTAAAACATTTTCTAACTTTGTCACTATTTTCAGAAAACGATTTTCAATTGATAAAATTATAGTTTAAAGTAGGCTATCTTCACATATAATTTTGTGCACTTTCAGAGGATCCCCAGATCAAAATTTTCCAACCCCATTATACAGGATGATTCAGGTTTCAATCTGGATAACTTCAGAAATTGATAGAACAAGTTAGAATAATGTTCATTCATGATATAAACTTTTTCTTAAATCACATCGTTTCAGAGATTAGAGGGCTTTGAAGTAGGATATTTTTTCCCATTTCTTAACACTAAAAATACTTTTGAAATAATAATTTTAACGATGATTTTCACAAACATCAGTTTGTTTCTCATGGGTTGCTATAATTGCTATAAAGTTAAATAAAATTTTATCTCAAAAATATGACCAAATATTAAAAAAAAACGGTACAAAAAAATTTAAAAATTGACAAGACAAAAGTGGTATGCAGCTGTTTTATTAAAATTTATTTTTTTGAAGTTTTGAAATAATGTATGGAAGGAATAACACCAAATTCATTTCTAAGAGGAGTAGGTGGTTCAAACAAAAAAACTATATCAACGCTCTCTATCTCTGAAACGATGCGATTTAAGAAAACAAGTTCATATTATGAATAAACATTATTTTAACCTGTTCTATCGATTAAATCTGAACCACCCTATATAATTCTACTAAATAAAAATTATTATTATTCCTTTAAAATAATACAATTAGAATTTTTTTCGCTTATATATCTGACTATTCTTGATTCCATCAAATCTAAAGAATCCTCTTTAATTGAATGCAATATTATTAAACAGCTCATCATACTAAATAAAATTTATTTCTCAAAAATTTTTAATCGTTATATCTTTTTCACTTTGAAACCTATATACCTCCTTGCGAATTTTTCAAATATTATCCAATAATACCTTACATTTTTGTAAACAATTCTAATGATTTTTTTATTTCATATACAAATTTATCAATCTATAATTAGACTATTACGAGGTATTATCACTAAAAATTACAACAGACATTTGAAATATATTTTTATTTGATATATAATTTCATTTAATAATTTTCCAATAAATTTTAATGTTATAAATCAGAAACATTATATTTAAACTATAATCAAAATTAACAATTTTTTAGCACCTACCCGTCTGTTAAAACGGAAGTTTTCGAGTGATTCTGAGGATGAACCACCTCAAATCGTCACTGTGGAAGTTATGATTCACCACGGTGCCAATACTCATATTGAACAAAATATCCCAGGACCTTCATCACCTGTTGCAGCTTCTACACATTCTAATAACACTCCTGTACCAATTTTAGCCCCACCAATGCCACAAGATGTTATAGAAATTGGTTAGTCTTTTCATAAATTTATATAAGTATCATTATTATTATTACCAATAAATATCATAGCATAATTTAAATAACCATCAGACACTTGCCTTTATAAATCATTATTTTTTTTTAATATTTTCTTTCCAGATGTAGAGAACATAGGTGATGAGATAATTCCTGAATTATCTCCATCTTTATTAGATGACCTCCAAAATGAATTTGCTGATTTACCATTTAACAATCGGAGACAAACAGCAAATCAAATGGATGCCGCCATAGCTGATATTCCTACGAGAGAAGACATTCAACAAGATATAGAACGTCTACGGAATATCGAAAATCGCTTACCGACATACCTTCTGGCTAGCGAAAGAATTGTACTAGGCGGAACTTACAATTTAGGTCCACTCGATCAAATGTGTATTCATTGTTCTGCTTTTTATTTTCATGTAGAACGCCTAAGTCGTGGACACTATACAAAATGCTGCCGACAAGGTAATGTAGTTTTAGAAAATTTACCACCTATGCCTGATGTTTTAGAAGCTCTGTTTCAAGGCTTACATCCTTTGTCTGCCCATTTCAGAAGGTATATATTATTATATAATTATAGTTTTCAGTTTGTTTCTTTAGAGGCAAACCTACGAGACTTTCCCGCAAGGGGGCCATATGTCTTTTCTGTCAGAGGAAAAGTATATCACCACATTTCCAATGTAAATGTTAATGAGCCGTTGCAACGCTACGGACCTATTTATTTTCTAGATCCAGACGATGCCGTCGATGCCCGAGCACAAAACAATAATCAAGTCTTAGACAGACGATTAATTGTTCTTTTGGAACAATTGCTAAGAGATATAAATCCCTA